CTCGTAATATTTCTAATCACACTTAATTTAAAAGAAAGCTATATCATTGCTCTAAGATTCAAAATGAAAAAATGTTAGTAATTGATGCACATACACTGACAATTGAATATGCAGATTAGTTTAGAGTCTTATTGATAGAAATAAAAATGTTGTGTGACCCTTAGAAAGTTAGAATCCTTTTAGAACTCCCACTTTCACTCACAAATAATAGCAAGAATTCTTTTTAAAACTCTCACAGTTTCCCTATAACCAACCTTCCTAACACCAGTCTTAGAAACCAAATTACTCTACATGGAACCACCACAACTAAACACATATCAAAGACCTGCATTTCCTAAGGACTACAGTAAGCGACATTTTACAAATGAACACATATCAAAGACAGCAGCTTTACCTGAATACAACAGCAAAATCAAAAGTCACAACAGCAAGCTCGAAATTCACAAGAACAGCAGACTAAGACCAACCGCCTTTCAGCCTCATTCTGGTTCAAACCCCATGTTCTCGAACTCACAACAGCAGGCCGACAAATTAACCCTAGAATTATGTAATTGCAAAGAAAATCAATGACTAACCCTATATTGCGAAAGAATTCAATAGAATAAGAAGACCCAAAATACATCTTACCTCGAAGCTGCTACAATGGAGGTGAGAAAACCCTTGAATTCGCTTCAATAGACCGGGATGAGAAAGCTCTGCATGCGTTTCAATATAGGAGGGCTATGGAGAGAAAAAACAAATTGACCTTGGCGGCAATGGAGGTGAGAAAGCTCAGAGTGCGCTTCAATGAAGGACAACAATGGTGAGCTAGGCGAGAACGAGAGAAGGAACGAAGAACTCAATGTGGAAAAGCAGGGGAATGAATTGAAGGAAAAAGAAAGGTTTCGCGAATTGAAGTAATTAAAATTAGGCGGGTTGCTGGGTTAAATTCCGCACCGGTTCGAACCGGTCCTAAATAAGCTTTTCCCACCGGTTTATGCTGAACCGCTGCGAAATCTCTTCCTTCCCCCCCTTTTTTTTTACAAAATATTTTGGCACCGGTTCAAACCGGTGGGAAAACAAACATTTCGCACCGGTTTATAAGGAACCGGTGGGAAAAGTAATTTTCAGAATCCCGCCCATTTCTTTTCCCACCGGTTTTAAATAACCGCTGCGAAAAGGGGGGTGCGGTTTTCATTTTTTCTACTAGTGTAATAATATCAATATAATCAAAATCTCATCAATAGTATAATTAGCAAGATCCTAGGCATGGTATTAAACGGATTAATAACAAATCGTAGCATGTCACTAAATAAAAATAATTATCAAAGCATTAACCTAAACATGATACAAAAAAGCATGATTTTAGGAATATTAATTAACACCCTAAACATGATACTAGGAATCAAAATCAACATCCTAACATGATTTCTATATCAAAAGAATAATTAAGTAATCGAATTACTTACTTTGATGTCTCGTATTTTTTTCTATCAAAATACTACACACGTTAGTAACTTCAAGAAACATTAAATCAAACAAATAAATCAAATATGAGTTGAAATATAGATTTGGGACCAAACCCTCAGAATTACCAACCTTTCACGTTAAGGTTGAAGGCAATGTCGAGAAGTGCTTGGAGTATTCAAGGCTCATGAAGGAGGTATGATGTTTGATCGAGGAAAAGTATCAAGGATGTGTATTTGGATGTGTTGGGATGTGTTTAGGCTAGGCTAAGAACATGAGAAAACAAGAGAGAGATAAAGAATATTAGAGAGGGGATTAGATGATGATTGTTGGTGATCAAGCTTGTTGATGATTGAAAACGGGGTGAAACGACCTCTATTTATAAGAAAAAAGAGGGTCGAAAGATAAAAAAAAGAGTCAGAATTTGATTTGGAGTAAAACAAGTTCCATCACGGCGCGATAGGCTTATCGCGACGCGATGGTACTGTCGCTCAGCGATAGTTTTTGGAAGATTGAATCCGTGACTTTCAATCAAATTGGGTTAATCGAATTTGCGTACGTATTTTAATTTTATCAGAATCAAAATCTTTAAAAAACAAGTGTTTTATCTGGTGTAAAATTTTTAAGTCTTTATCTTTTCAAAAACAGGATAAATTGGAACCTTTTAGAAGCTAATAATAAATCCTAAGGGATTTAGGATCGAAAACAATAACCTTCTAGAGGATTATATAAACTTGTAATAAATCCTAATTGGTTTAGGAATGAGGTTAAGGTTAATGGACCCTCCACATGATCATTGGGTCGCAGGTAAGGCTCGGTTTGGGCTCGGTTTAGTATTTTGGCCATAACTTCCTTGTTATAACTCGGATTTTGGCTTATAATATATCGTTGGAAAGCTCTTTTCAAACCCCATTCAACTAAAAAATATTTGGACCAGGATTATGGACCAAAATAGATTAATTTGGATGATTTTAGAAAGGACACAAAATGAATGATTTTAGGTTTAATGGCACGAAATAAATGGTTTTGGGTTTAAAACATTTTAGGAAAGGTTAGAAATGGTCAAGGCTAAAGGGAACTTCACGAGACACTTCAACTCTTCACCTAACTTGATAATCAAAGACGTGAAAGGTATTCATCACTGGGTTTGGTTTTTGGGGATACACCTTCTTTGTGGGATCGACGACCCTGACTTACCTTACTACATATTAGGAGGATTAGTTAGGCTTTTGTTATTTTTGTTAGGTGTGCGACCGTCTATCAAGTTAACACCGTTAACTACTATTCATCATCTTCTTCCTCCCACATTCTTCTTCTTCTTCTTCTTCTTCTTCTTCTTCTTCTTCTTCTTCTTCTTCTTCTTCTTCTTCTTCTTCTTCTTCATGTTCATTTTTTATAATTAAAACTCTGCGCAATCCTAACTCTAACTTAAAAAAAAATAAAGGAGGGAATATAAGATTAGGATCAAACTAGTGTATCGACATAAATATAAATGTCAGATCATATAAACTCCTTAATCAGAGTGATTTCCATTGATCAATATTTATAGGGTTACTAGGAGAAACCTAATCATATTAGATAACTATAAGATATGTAAAGATATCATAAAAATAATCTTATACAAAATATATCCTATACCTAGGAGGAGAATATTCTATGAATATTCTCTATCACACCCCCACAGTCGGAGCGGGAGAAAAATCGGATGCTCAAACTGGATCTGAATCTTACATTAAACGGTGAAGGATATTATGGTAACCCATGATCAAAAGAGAAGCAGCCAAAGAGTGCCAGTGACGACGAGGAGAAGCAATAGCCACAATCTATGCATAAGGGAAAAGAGTGCTGCTAGGCAAGAAGAAGTTGAAGGGCCGCGCACGAGTTGCGAATTTAGGCCAGGTTGTAGATCCGGTGAAAAGAAGAGGATCGGACTACCGTCTAAAGAGAGAGCACTAATGCTACTGGAAATCACAATTCAATAAAAGCAAATAAAATTGCTCAGGAATATACTAAAATCCCACCACTTAACCACTTGGAACATCTACCTCTAAAAAAAGAAATTGACCACACAAGGAGATAAATCCCACCAAAAACTAAAACAAAGCAGTGGCTGCATTTAGAGAATGACAAATCCCATCGCATGCATTAGTTAGAAAATTAAAAATAAATTAAAAGGTCAAAGTTTCATTGGCAATTGGAGCAAAAATAATCCAACATCTCTCTTCTCCTTATGTTGTACTTGAAGATGGCTCCAAAGAGGAAAGATGGCCACTAACTAAATACCTCCTCTTGGAAGGGTGGCTTGGAGTGTTACGACAATTAATAAGGAGATGGAGGGAGACTGTGCTTTTTCTGTTGCCGATGACGTTAAGAGGAAAAAATATTTAAAATATGAAGGGTGGTTCATCTTGTGGGTTTGGTATCATAGACTATTATCAGTCTATGATACGATATGCAAGATTGCAAGTCGCTCACATAAGTTATAAGTGAGCTAGGTGGCGTATTAGGTGGAGAACCAAGAGGTAGAGGTGGTGCACAAAGCTTCTGTGTGTGGTGGGAAGTCGGAGCACAAGAGGGGTTGCCAGTGATGGTCAACCATCGTACCCAGTAATTATATTGCGGAAGCGAAATTTTTAATTTTTTTTTTGTTGTAATCGTTTGTGAATCCTGCCGTGGGTTTAATTTTCTAACCCACCGGCAAGGGAAGAAGAATTTTTAGATCTAAACAATCCCAAGATCTAACCCAAGCTGTGATACCATATCAGATAATATAAACTTCTTAATCAGAGTGATTTCCATTGGTCAATATTTATAGGGTTACAAGGAGAAACCTAATCATATTAGATAACTATATTATATGTAAAGATATTATAAAGATAATCTTATACAAAATATATCCTATACTTAGGAGAAGAATATTCTATGAATATTCTAACTTGGTATCAGAACCAGCGTGACATAAAGGTCACGGATTTGAATCTCATCCACCCCCACTTTCAAGTGGAATATTTACGCAGAGTGTGAGGAGGGTTTATGTTGCATCCACCCTTCTAACCCAACAAACTCTCGTGTGAGAGGGCGTGATAAAGTATAAAATATATTCCTGGACCTCAACCATCGGCTTAACCTTTTGGTTGAGTTGGTCCACTAACATTAAAGTTTAACCATGTCAACTATGGGAATTTTTTTTTTTTTTAATTACATTTTTATTGGAACATAATTTGATTTCGAAAGAACTTTTTGTTCAAAAGTATAATTGCTCTTAAATGTTCAACGCTTGTCATGCTAGAAAATTATGTCAATAAAATTACTACTTCGTATAATACGAGTACTCTGGTACTCTGAAAATCAAGTACAAATCTTTTATTGTCCTCATTTATTAACATGGAGTACTTGTATTAGTTGTAATGTTGTATCAAGTACTGTAAAATTCAACCATCTAGTAGTAGTATGAGTATCTTTTGCAGTTCTGCCAAAAGATTTGCATTCATCCAAAACTTTATTTCTTCTCCCTTTCTTTTTCTCTCTTCCTCTAATCTAGCATTAGCAAAAACATGGCAAAGAAATGCCAATGGTGTGAGATTAAGGAAAATTATCATTACTGGCGTAACTTTCCTTCAACAACTCACCAGTTTCTTGTGATTATGCCCTACAATTTCCATCAACAACTGGTAATTTTCTTCCTATTTACCATTTTATTTAACTCATTATAAGCCAAGTTTTTTTTTTTTTTTTAGTTACTCTGAAGGTTCTAGATTGTTTTACAAGAACATAATTTGCAATTCTGCCTACAAAAAAATTATTATAAGAAGAGTATTAATCTTGCATATTAATTGTGCATTAGCTAGCTTCAAACTTCAAAGGGTGGAAGCTAAGTATTAATATAATTACTCAACTTATCACGAGTTTTGATTTTGTTCGTTTTTGGTAAGTAATTCCTCAAAACTTCATATAATGTTTCAAAGAAGAACATAACTTGTGTTTCGTTGGTAACAAAAAATATAGTCAGGAATCTTTTTTTCTAGATTTGTCTTGGGTCTACTTTCAAAATTATTATTACTCCGGATTATTTTATAAATTTAGCAAAGGATGATTAATTGATTATAGAAAGAGTATTAAACTTATCATATTAATTGTGCATTAGTAAGTATGAAATTTCAAATGATTGAAGACCTCAAGTTTAAAATTTGTCACATAACTACCCACTTATCACAAGTTTTTGTTTTTTTTGTTTTTTTTTTTTTTGCTTTGTAGAAAACTCCTCAGAAGTTTATTGAATGTTTCAAAGAGGAATTGTCAACATGGTGTACACTAATCGGACCAAGTGAAAACAAATGGAGAGTGAAGTGTTCAAGCTCAGCCGAAAATGAAATTGATACGAAATTCACAGACGGATGGGAGAAGTTTGTCACTGATCACGGAATAGAAGTTGATGACATTGTGGTGTTTCGTTATGCTGGAGATTCGTCGTTTAAAGTCTTTGTATTCGATGGGGAGAGTAGTTGCGAAAGGGAGGGCTCTTACTTTGTGAGTAATACATCTTCTAGCTCACACAAAGTTAGTTGTACGATTACTTTGCACTTTAAGAGGGCTGATAACAACAATGGTTCGAGTACGAGTATGAGTACTCCTGCTCCTACTCCTACTCCTGCCCTGACTCTTAATCCTTCTCCTGCTGCTGCTGCTGTTGGAAGTTCGCATAAACCAATTATGATTGATGAGGAAGACCATTGTTTGAGCTTTTACTGCTGAATTAGATTATTTAGTTTGTATATTTTGGTGCTTAGAAGTTAAAACCTAGATGTTGCACTGGAATTTATTTGAGTAGGAATTAAGGCAAAGACCATTGATAAATGATTTTTATCAGACTTGCTTAGTTTAATAGCATTGCACTCTGTTGAATGTATTGATCCTGTTTGTGCACGTATGATATTAAAAGTGACATCCCTATTATTATTTGATCTTGTTTAATTGGGTTTTTATGTATTTAAAGTTGATTGAATTAATTATATACTTTATTCTTGATTATCATTTAAATGGTCTCATTTTACAGGAAAACACATTACTTAGTAGTTGGTACTATTGTTTGGCCCATACGAGTATTGGACTGAGGAGAATACATCGTATTAGCTTCATTTTTTCAGTTTTTACCCTTGTTCAGTAATTAGTTTCTACGAAGTATATACGAGTATATTTTTGCTAGAAAGCAAGTAGAAATTAATTACTGAACAAGGGTGTTAAGCCTAATATTGTAGCATGTAGCGCGATTGTTCGGGTGAAATGTTGAACTGTGGATTTGTATCTCAGCATATAAATCATTTTCAAGGTTTCTTTAGAGTTGTTATCTGCATATGGCCATTGCTCGTGGATGACATATCTCAGTATCTGTTGAGCATTTTTAAGATGATGCTAGTTTTGGCTTGTTCTAGTGAAATAATGCAGTAATCTCTGAGTTAGATTTAGGGATATAGTAGAGCAGAAAATGGACAAGCAAACTTTTAAGCATTTAGCAAAATAATAGAGCAAAACATGGGTAATTTCCTGTCTGTGGCATACCACTCGCAGAAGATCTGAAATTTACGAGCAGACTGTATTTGAATTTAGAAAAGTTTAGGGAAGTAGCTTGTGTGTGTCTTATATATAATGAATTGGAGATTATAAAGCAATCTTTGGTGGGTTACTAATGTTTCGTGTTAGCGAGATTATGGCAGTGTGTTCTTGATTATTTGTTGCATTATGGTCTTTTAAAGTAGTGTAAGGCCCGATTATTACAAACAAGGAACTATGTAATGTTGTTGCCTTGAGTGAAGGCCAAAAGAAAATAGGCAACAGATGAAATATTTTTTGTACTAAACTGATGAATTTATCAGCGTATGACTATGCAGAAAAAACTCCCCAAACCAAATTGTGCTACATATCGAATAGGAGGGATCCTAGATAAGAGCTTTTGACAAGGCTACAAGATTCATGGAGGTTAAAAGTTATGTTAAGAAGCAGAACAATATTCAGAGCGCGCCTATGTTTCAGATAACCTTGCAGCCTTCACATGTTTACAAAACATTTTTACTAGTTTGTTTTCCCTTCTGTACCCCTTAGTTCTTTCTAATTAAATTTTTTGTTTTAGCTATGGAGAGTGTTTAATTACTCTGTTTCAAAGTAAGTGCAACCCGAACCACTAGTTATCATGATAATTTTATTAGTTTTACTCTCAAAAATTCTTATCATAGTTCAATTGTGCAACAATATCTGATCTTGTTTCTTATGCATCTTAGTATGTGTATGTAGCTGAGTAAAAGAAGTGAAGAGGTTGAGTTAATAAAACAATTAAGCTAATGCCCACAAAGTCATCAATGATTTGCCAATGTTGAAAGGGTTCGGCCATGTCATATAGACTATGCGTACATTTACGCGTTGGTAATCCATCCCCTAGATAAAGAGCTAGGTTAAATACTATTAAAAATTGTTGAGTTGAATTCCACTATGTTTACATGTCTATATTAACGCATTACTTGACACATTGTAGAAATGTTCTTTGTTTCCCTTATTCATATAGTTTTGGTTTGCTATAGTTTACCAATCTATATTTGGATTTGTAAGCAGACAGTTCCAAACAAATGGGCAATAGAGCATATGGTCCAAGTATCTCATGTTGTGAAGCTGCAGGTTGGAGATCGAAGCTGGATTGTTGGATTCCAATTTGAAGACAATGGGGCTTGTAATTGTTACTACTATCTCAAACGAAACTGGAGAAACTTTGTGCTTGACAATAATTTAGAGGTGCATGATTCGTGTGTATTCGAGCTGATTCAGAATGGGCTTACTCCTATCTTTAACGTCTACATATTTCGTGTTGTTGATAAAATTATTCCCTTGACACCATCAAAGATCTTATGTTAAGCTATAAGGGAAGATCAGATTTTGATAACAAGCTAGTTAAGTACTCCGAAGTTGCATTGCTATATAGCAAAGCTTGTCTAATGCATTTGTTACTGCTCGATTAGGTTATTTAGTTTGTATGTTTTGGTGCTTTGATTAGAAGTTGGTCTGTATTTAAGGCAAACCAATTATTAATGATTTTACCAAACAGAGTCTGGTAGCCTTAGCTTGCACTTTGTTGAATTGTTCATGTTTTTTATTTGATCGTATTTAAATTGGGTTTTTATGTTTTGAGAATTGGTTTAATTAGGTATATACAGTATTTTAGTTCTTAATTATCATTAAAATTCTCTCATTTTTTAGGTAAATAAATCAACCCGTCCCCTTGTTTGCCCCATTGGAGTATAGACTTGAGTCGTAATAGTAATCTATGTAGCTAACTTGTAATTTTTGTTTAGATGGAATTGAAAGAAAAATGCCTTTGTGGAACTAACTACTCACTCCTTTTATTTTTTAAATGTTATACTTTAAACCGTATGTAATTTTAGGCTTTTAGGTGATTAAATTGAATTAGTAAGATATTGTGGGGTATGCTGATAAAATATAAATTTATAAACAAAATAAATAGTGACTTAGCAAGTTAATAATCTCTATAAATTTGTATAAAATTAAGGGAAAGATTGTGGTCTACCCTAGAATGAGAAAAAAAAAACGAGAAAAAAAAATCCTATATGATTTCACTTTAATACAGTACTAGTGGATGACATGTGTCATAACTGATTTCGCTTTTAATATTAAGTTATTCATGATATTAAGAAAAAAAAAACATTAATTAGGTAGAGACTACTAACAAGCCAAAAAAAAAAACAAGTACTCCGTAATTGCCTCATCCCTTACATAAAAAAGAAAACTCTGAGTGAACAAGTAGTAAACATTTACCACTTTCCACTAACCTTATTTATTACTCCCTCCGTCCCATAATTTTTGCCCCATTGCAAAAATATGGGTCAAACTTTTAAAACTTTGACCATGAATTCTCGTTGATCTATAAGTGATAATATATTCATGTGGAATCTTGTTAGAATTGTCTCATTGTATAGTTTATTAATATCAAATTTTTATAATTTTTACGCGTATAGAAATGGAGATATATGCATTTGAAGACGTGTCTTGGAGACCGTGAAAAGTCAAATGGGGCAAAAAATAAGGGACAGAGGGAGTACTTGTAAAACATGTACTTGTGTGAGTAACTATAGCCCACTATCAGGTATAGGCTCACAGTTATCCATATCACAATATAAAATTATATTTTTTAAATAACTTTTTAATGTAAATGAAAATAGAAAAGGTAAAAGAGGAGTGGAAAAACATAACCCAAAAACAAAAGAGCGAGCAATCTATGGAGTACTTCCGGTTGGAGTTTAATTCTCATCGGACTTGTAGTATTTTTCATCCACGAGGACCGCGGTGCTTGATCTACCGGAGGTGTGAATTTTGTGGCAAGAATTTATTTAGAGTTTAAATGATGAAAGGTAGTAAAGTCGGAGGGCGGCGAAAGATTTTCATGGTTTTTCAACATAAACAAGTTCCTTGCCGGAGACACAAACTTATGGTTCTAGCCATTAAAAACGGTGAGTTCTATGTTGGAAATTGTTTGAGTTCGATTATTTCTGGTGAATTTTAAGTATTTGTCGGTGCTCAGTTATTATTGATTTGTGTAGCGTTATGATTAATTTGTATACTGTTGTGATTAATTTGTATACTGTTATGATAGTGTTGAATATAGTTATTAAGAGGAAAGAGACTACTTTTTTACCATAAGCAATACAATTTTGCCAATAAAATTCAACTACTCTCGTACTTGTGTCAATAAAATTCAACTACTCGTACTTGTGTCAATAAAATTCAACTACTCTCGTACTTGTGTCAAAAAATAAAATTCAACTACTCTGGTCTATCACTACTCGTACTTGTGTCAATAAAATTCAACTACTCGGTATATATTATACGATTTTCTGCCAAAAGATTTTCACTATTTCTTCTACCAATAGTAATTGCTTTCTCTTGCTCTTTCTCTTTCTCTAAGGCAGCTTTTGCAAAAATGGCAAAGAAATGCCAATGTTGTGAAATTAAGGAGAATTACCATTATTGGCTTGAATTTCCTTCAACTAATCACCAGTTTATCGTGATTATAGCTCACAATTTCCTTCAAGAACTGGTAATTTACTTGTCATTCACTACGAGTGCTTTTTTATGCTGAATTTATCTTCTACTGTGAATTTATCTTCTACTGTGAGAAGATTTCTCAAAATTTGATAGAAGTTTTTTTTATTTTTTTGGACACCAAAAATTGATAGAAGTTAACAAAGAGGAACACAATTTGTAATTTCTACATAACGAAAAGTATATTCAATTATTCATGTAGTTATGTGAGAGTTTAATTTGTTTGTTAGATTTGTCTCAAATTGCACTTCAAAATTATCAACATTTTTATTAATTTAGTAAGAGATAATTATAGAATGAGTTTGAATTTGCCATATTATTTATGCATTTGCTAGTGTTAATTTTTGAATCTTGTATGTTAGATGTAGCTACTTTGCTAAATTAAGATCCGGAATTTACCTGAACACATGCAATTTTAAATAAACTTTGAATTTGCCATATTATTTATGCATTTGCTAGTGTTAATTCCGGATCTTAATTTAGCAAAGTAGCTGACTTTAATAGCCATTTAGTAACTTTCTTTATAAAACTTTCTTTACCTGAATCATTAGTTCATTAATTGTACATTAGCTAGCTTAAAACTTCAAATGGTTCAATTTTAACGAATAATACAGTCAAGTGGAATCTCGTTTGCTAGATTAGTTTAGGGATGTTTCAAAATATCTAACATTTTATAAATTTTGGAAAATATAATCATATCAAGACAAACTTCCCATACACAAATTGTGCATTAGCTAGCTTAAAGTTTCAAATGGAGAAATTTATAAACAACGGATGAAGTATTAAGCTTGATTGGCATTTAATTACCAAGCTCATCACATATTTTTTTTGTTTGTTTTGGTAGAAAATTCCTCAAAAGTTCATAGAATGTTTCAAAGAGGAACTGTCAACATGGTGTACGCTAATCGGACCAAATGAGAACAAATGGAGAGTAAAGTTTGTTAGTGGTACGAAATTCTCAGATGGATGGGAGAAGTTTGTTAGTGATCATGGAGTTGAAGTCAATGACATTGTGGTGTTTCATTATGCTGGAGATTCGTCGTTTAAAGTCTCTGTATTCGATAGGGAAAATGGTTGCGAAAGGGAGGGCTCTCACTTTGCGAGTAATACTTCTACCTCGCACAAAGTTACTTGTACGAGTACTTTGCATTTTAATTGGGCTGATAACAATAATGGTTCGAGTACGAGTACTCCTGCTCCTGCTCCTGCTGCTGCTGCTGCTGCTGCTGTTGGAAGTTCGCAGAAACCAATTGTGATTGATGAGGAATCCCATGACTCTGAGTATGACTCTGCTTATAATGCTGAAACAAGTGAGGATGACGAAGATGATCAAAATAATTCTGAGTACCAGCCTGTTTGGAGGCGCAGAACAAGGGCAAGATCAGATTACTCTACTACAGGTTATAACACCATCTTTAAGTTTTATTATCTATATATAATTTTTATATATTATGTACAATGTGATCAAAATTGCATGTGTTCAGGTAAAGGTCGAAGGTTTATTTAAAAGTTTTGATAGTGTCACACACATTAGTAACAATTTGAAAGGATTTTGTCTGTCAGAGTCTCATCATGTGAATCATTCTAAAGAGTTTTTTTAAGTGGTATCTGCATATGGCTTGATGTAACTGTTTCTATTGGGTCGGACTGTTGGTGTTTGTGTGAATGTGAAACATTGTTGAGGGGCGAATGTTGAACATTTTTATGATGGTCTATTAGTCTATAAAGAAACATCAGTAGCAGAGGAGCAATATATACTGAATAGGGCTGAAAAAATGCTCTCTTGGGCTAATGGTCACTGAATCGGATTTCATCAATCCAATTTGTGATTACGCTACTGATTTAGATAACTGATATAAAGCAATTTAGTAAATTGTTCATAAGCAATTCAATTGCACATTTTCTTAAGAATGGACAAGTCGTCTTTTTAAGGCATCATTTAGCAAAATGGTAGAGCAAAAACATGGGGAATTTCCTGTCATTGTCATACTACTCACAGAAGACCTGAGATTTATAAGCAGACAAATTTGTATCAGGAATAGTATAGGAGAGTAGTCCATTTGTGTGTCTTAGAATGATATGACTTAAAGGTACAATTTTTAAAACAATCTCTGGTGGGTGACTGATGTCATGGAGATCGTACCGTGGTAGTCATCGTGTGTTGTTGATTATTTGCTGCATAATTCGCCATTTGAAGCTATGACCTTGAATGAAGGCCTAATGTATATCTTAGCAAGATAATAGGCAACATACGTTATTTATTTATTTCTTTTTTCAAATTGATGAATTTATCAGCATGTTATGCATGCAGGGAAAACTCCCCAACTCGGAGCATGCTTCATATCTAATAGGAGGGACCCTACAGATAAAGAAAAGGAAAGAGCTGTAGAAAAGGCTACCGAATTTATGGAGGCTATTCAGAGGCAGAACAAGATTCAGAACGCGCCTATGTTTCAGATAACCTTAAAGCCTACACATGTTAAACATAAGTTTCTACTGGTTTGTTTTCCTTTCAATACCCCTGAGTTTGTCTAAGTTCTAATTAATCTAATTGTTTTTGTTTTACCTGTGGAAAGTGTTTAATTAATCTGTTTAAAAGTAAGAGCAACTCCATCCTCTAGTTAATATGTTAATATTAATATCTCAAAATTCCTTATCGTAGTTCAAATGTGAAAAATTTGATCTTGTTTTTCATGCCAGGAATCCGATTATTTGGTTATGAGCTGGTAAATTAGTAGAAACAATATTGAGATGAATTAGAAAATAAAATGGGAAGAAAATAAATAACAGTACACAGACTTTAATTGGTACTTCGGTCTGTTTAAGTAATGTGATCTTTTGGAGTACATCTTAGTGTCTATCTGCTTCTAAGTACAAGAGGTAAGGAGGTTAATTTAGTAAAACAAGCTGATGCCAAAAAAGTCATTAATGAGTTATCAATATTGAAAGGTTTCCATGTCAGAAAGACTATGCTACATATACTCGTCGGGTAATCCATCCACTAGATAAAGAGGTTAAAAACAATCTAAATTGTCGAGTTGGATACCAGTAGATATTTATGTCTATCTCTAGCGCGTTTCTTACTAGTGAGTAGACAAAAATAATTCTAAGAACATGTATAGTAGGCCAAGGTGGTAGCATTAAAGGATTAAAATTCTGCATTATCCTAGCTAAATACTTGTACTCGTATTATTTACTTCTCTGGTTGCATAATCACACAGTTTTTCTATGCTATAGTTTATTATCCTACCATTATTTGCTACAATTTACCAATGCAACTTAAGATGTATATATATATATATGTGGATTTGTAAGCAGACAATCCCAAGAAAATGGGCAACAGAGCACATGGTCCAAGGCACTCGAGACGTGAAGCTGCAGGTTGGAAACCGAAGCTGGATTGTTGGATACAGATGGTCACTGCGATTTCAAACTTTTCAGCACTTTCTCAATCCAAACTGGGCGAACTTTGTGTTTGATAATAATTTGGAGGTGCATGATTCATGTGTGTTCGAGCTGATTCAAGAAGGGTGTTTACCTGTCTTTAACGTCTACATATTTCGTGCCATTTATAACATTGTTCCCTTGACACGGTCAGGTTTCAGATCTTAAGCTAAGAGAAAGATCAGATAACAGTAGCAAGGAAAGTCGAATCACGATAACAAGTACTCTGTTGTTGCTAGATAGCAAAGCTTATTTGAGCTTTTACTGCTAAATTAAATTATTTAGTTTGTATTGGTGCTTGAATGGTAGAACCCTGGAAAATATTTGAGTAGGAATTAAGGCAAAAACCATTGATAAGTGATTTTTATCAGACTTGCCTAGTCTAATATATTAGCCTTGCACTTTGAATGTATTGATCCTGTTTGTGCATGTATGATATTTAAAGCAACATCCCTGTTATTCTTTGATCTTAATAAATTGGGTTTTTATGTTTTAAAAAGTTGATTAAATGAATTATATCATTTAAATGCTCTCATTTTACAGGAAAACACTTATAAAGTCAATTATCATTTAAATGCTCTCATTTTACAGGAAAACACAAGCGCTGGTTAAAAAACAATCATTTGATTTTGTTTCTTGCTCTCAGTGAAAATTGGTAGTCTTGGACCTCTTGGTAATTAGTGGGTGGTGAGATATTATCTTTTAACACATTTAAAGGCTAATGAGGTTTTTTTTATTTTTATTTATTTTATTTTTTATTTATTTTATTTTTTATTTTTTTTACTTAGAGGATAGTAGATAAAACAAGAGGTAGTAGGCTTAATTGATGAGAAAAAATAAGTGGATTTATGCTACTTTATGAAAAAAAGGGAAGTGTAAAACTAATAATTGACTTTATAATTACACCCCCAAAAAAATTGACTTTATGGGAAAAGTCTGTTAACTAAATATGTTACATACTACCTTCGGTTCTTATTACTCGTAATAAAGGGGTATTATTTGTGAGACATAAAATATTTCTTTGTTGTGAGTAATAAAATCTAGAGGTGGTATAATATTCCACATAATGCCTGATGAGAAATTCAATGTATATACGTTTCCATCTCAAAAATTGAAGATATATATAATCAAAATGAAAGATACACGGCACGCAATAGCATAAACTACAAACAAAAAGTAACATTACCAACCTCATTGAGCGTGCCATGCAATCCATGATATATCCATTTCGTACACCTTTCTTTTCCATTTGTTCATTTGATACTCATATATATGACGAATAGTATATGTTTATGAACATGGTATGACAAAAATGAATTCATATATGACGAACAGTATATGCTTTTGAACTCACATGACCAATTTGTGTGACTATATATTAGTATGTATAGCCTCATTCGCTCAAACACTTACATAAATATGCACAAGTCTAAGTAGTATTCCAATACATAAATTACTTTTTTCAATAAACAAGTAAATTTAGCCATGGAAAAAAACAGAAATATGAACTCTTCTCATCACATTGCAAAAACATGGAAAAAACTAAGTGGTGAAAACAATTGGGAAGGCCTCTTAGACCCCCTCGATATCGATCTTCGAAGATACATCATTCATTACGGAGAAATGTCTCAATCAACCTATGATACCTTCAATAGCTCAAAAAAATCAAAATATGCTGGTAGTAGTTTTTTTTCCAAGAAAAATTTCTTCTCAAACGCTGGCCTAGCAAATGGAAATCGATACAAGTATCGCGTTACAAGATTCTTGTATGCAACTTCAGGGATAGATTTGCCTGATGCCTTCATTTTTAAGTCATGGTCTAGGGAGGCATGGAGTAAAGAGTCCAATTTTATAGGGTACGTGGCGGTGGCAGATGACGAGTCCGTGGAATTCTTAGGGAGGAGAGACATTGTTATTGCTTGGAGAGGGAGTATTCAGTCGTTGGAGTGGGTTAATAATTTGCAATTTCGTCTAGTTCCGGTTTCGGATATTCTTGGAGACGATGATATAGGTGATAAGCCTAAGGTACATGAAGGATGGTACTCGATTTATACATCGGATGACCCTAAATCTCCATTCAACAAAACTAGCGCTAGAAATCAGGTGAGATTAGTCCTTCGAACTTCGTTCTTTTTATACATAATAAATAACGATAATTATATACTTGTGTAGATCTTGCTGGATTCATCTTGATATATACTTATTATTTTTTTATTCTTGGATGGATTTGTATATAGGTACTACTTGAGATTCGAAATCTAATGGAACAATACAAGAATGAAGAGGTTAGTATAACAATAACAGGCCATAGTATGGGAGCAGCACAAGCTACACTAAACGCGGCTGATATAGTTGTTAACAACCTTAACATGCCTAAAAGCTCCCCCGGAAAATCATGCTTGGTAACAGCCATATTATTTGCTAGTCCTCGAGTAGGAGACGCCAATTTTTTAAAGTTCTTTTTAGAGTATGACAACCTTAAGATATTAAGGGTACGTAACGCCCTAGATGTCGTACCACACTACCCACCTATCGACTATGTCCATGTCGGAGAGGAGTTGGTGATCGACACAACTAGGTCACCGTACTTGAAGTTCCCCGGAAATGTAGTTACTTGGCACAACTCGGAGGTCTACTTGCACGGTGTTGCAGGAACACAACGTGGTGAGAAAGCGTTCGAATTGGTAGTAGATCGTGACATATCATCAGTAAATAAACATTGGGATAATTTAAAGGACGAGCTCCTCATCCCAGTTGCTTGGTGGATATTGAAGAATAGGGGCATGGTTTAACGGTTGGATGGATCTTGGGTATTGATGGATCGAGAGATGGATGATGATGAAGACTTTGACCTTTGAACATAGCTTCTAAGTAACCTTCATTGATGTTGAAACCCCATTTGTTGCGCACATGTGAATTATTCCACATTGAATTTAAAGAGAGAACATAGCACCATATAAGCTATAGGAGTTACTTCTTTTTTTTTTTTTTTTTTTTTTTTTTTTTTTTTTTTCAGTTGATTAGTATAGAATCACCTTTGAACTTGTTATTGGACCGACACTCCTATTTATTTGGGACTTTAGATTACCTAGGTCCATTTCGCCATTAATGGACCAGGTTATTAATTGGATATGCATATATGCAAGAATTCATGAAAGTTTTCTTTATTGATGTTGATATTGAAATTGGTAAATTTATTGTAATTTTGTATTATTCTATCTGTTTCTCTATTAATAATTAATTAATTATTTTACTCATAATTTTTTGTGGAATTGATGAATATCCATTTGTTTTCTTTAAGATGTTCGTGTTGCACGGCTTCTAATGCACGACTTTGACCACTAATATCTTCAATAATAAAAGAAATAGTACATAAATTATTCTACGCATGAAAGTCGATATCGCTTAAAATCTATTATATTAGAAAGGAAAACAACAATACATTGTTAATGCATCAATAATATAATAAAGCGCAACAATCAAACACATAGCACCCATCAAACGCAAAAGAGGAAAATCAAATGACTAGCCACCATTTCCGTGTAGCAAGAAAGAAGTTAGTAGGCTTCATGCCATATCATGCAAAACTGCTTGCCTAAACTCATGCCAATGATCCAGCTAGTTCATGATAATAACATGCACAAATAAATCTAACTTTTCTTAAAATTAAAGAAGGTACATTTCTATGGGATTGGATTATTTAACCAACCGTTAAGAGTATCAATTTGATGAATTATTATTTGTTCACAAATTGTGCATTAGTAAGAAAATTAAGATTTTATTATTATATATTTTATAAAATACATTAAAACAAATTCAATATGATGTCAAAAGTCTGTCTAGTATACTATTTATCCAACTAAAGATCACCTACACATAATAGAAATTGAATAAGAAGAACATGACTTCAATTATTTTCTTAGGACTTGTCTTTGCAATTTTCCTTCTCTTCTTTCGTAAATCTAGGAAGGTCAAGCCTAGCACAAACCTTCCTCCGGGTAAAACCGGCTGGCCGATTCTTGGTGAAACTTTAGATTATGTCCGACGCCCTGCTGAATTTATACGTGATCGAATGATGAAACACTCTCATGATGTCTTCCAAACTTCATTGGCAGGGGAAAAAATCGCGGTTTTTTGTGGTCCATTAGGTAACAAGTTCATATATTCAAATGAAGACAAATTTAAGCCTTGGTTACCTCACACCTTTGTGAAAGCTCTCTCTCTGAAATCAATTGACCGCGATACCCCATCACTTAAATTGTTCGTAGAGCAATTACTAAACTTCCTTAAGCTCGAGTCCTTGCAACAATATATTCATGTTATGGATTCAAAGACACGCGATCATGTAGAGATGTATTGGGTGCCTTACGATGAAGTAAAGGTTCAATTTTTATCTAAAGAGTTCACCTTTGAACTCATTTGTCTTTTGTCGTTTAACTTCCATGAGATAGATCAAGTGAAGGAATTAGCTGAGCGTTTCAATACTTTGGTTAAAGGGCTTATGTCCGTGCCAGTGAACTTGCCTGGTACGCAATACAATCGGGCTATGAAGGCGTCGAAGGCTGTCCTAGACAAGCTGATTGATTTAATTAGGAAGAGAAAATTGGAATTGTTAGAAAATGATATGAATAATCGCGATCAAGAGATTCAAGACGACCTATTGACTCGAGTGCTAAGGGCTTCGGATAAAGAAGGCGTGGCTTTTGAAGACGACGAGTTAGCTGGTCTAATTCTTGGTGTCTTGTTTGCTGGATTATATACTTCAAGCAGTGCCATCACATTTGTAATTAGTCACCTTGCTGAATATCCCCATGTTTATGCTAGAGTTTTACAAGGTATTTCGCAATATACATGAATATCATCATATTTATTCCCTCTTTTATTTTAAGTGTTACATGATAGAGAATATTAATAGAATATTCTCATCCTAAGTTTAGGATATATTTTGTATAAGAATATCTCTATGATATCTTTACATTTCTTGTTTGTTATTTTGTAAAAGAAGTGTTTTTTTTATTTTTTTATTATTTTTTTTTATTTTTGTGTAATCGTTTGTGAATCTTGCCGGTGGATATAATTTTCTAACCCACCGGCAGGGGAAGATAAAACAATCCCAAGGTCTAACCTAAGCTCTGATACCATGTCAAATAATATAGAACTCCTTAATTATAGTGATTTCCATTGATCAATATTTATAGAGTTACAATGAGAGTCCTAATCATATTAGGTAACTAACAAGATATGTAAAGATATCATAAAAATATTCTTATACAAAATATATCGTAAACCTAGGATGAGAATATTCTATCAATATTCTCTATTATTACAGTTTAATTTGATCATGTGAGGATTGAACATAACATATTTTCTACTAACTATTATTTAGTTCTGATTCCTAAACTCTTTTGGGTTGATTGTATGTGTTTGTTTGGTTTTGCTACATGCATCTTCTATCACAAGAACAATTGGCGATTGCGAAATCAAAAAGGAAAGGGGAGCTATTTGTTGAATTATTTAGAGAATGGTAGACTAATTTCATGTTATTTAATTAATTTACTTAGGTTAAGGTGTTGTATTATTAATTAAATATGTAATTAAAGCAAATAATCAATCATAATTGACGGTTGTGGCCGATGTACAATGCTTTGTGTCATTTGGCTTGTATGGCCAAACAATACTAGTAAGTTTTATTGCATTGTTTGGTGGCCAAACAATACTAGTAAGTTTCACTGCATTGTTTGGCTTTGGTATTGGCAGTAAGTTACATTGCATTGTTTGGTTTTAGTATTATGCTTTATATATATGTTTAATAACATATGATGAGAGTTTTTTCAAGAGATAAGTCATTTTTATTATTTTTCTTCTTGAATACGATTGCAAATGACAATTTTCATCATCACAAATACAAACCACTTGAATTATTGTGATTACAATTTGACTACAACAAATTGTAATTGTTCCGTTTTGTCTCCTAAGTGAATTTTTCGTGAAACCCGGTTGTAGTATTAGGGTCGAAATTACACTTTTGGGAAAGTGATTCCATTCACGACTCGGATAAATTTCTCTGTTTTAATTTCCATATTTCTTTGTAATTTCCCTTGTTTACTATTATCCCCAACACTATTAACTTGGAAGGATATCCAAAAATGAAGTACACTTGGAATGTGGTATGTGAATCTATGAGACTAATACCACCCGCACCCGGAGGTTTTAGAGAGGCTATAACTGACCTCTGTTATGCCGGCTTCACAACCCCAAAGGGATGGAAGGTATGAAATTGATTAGAAGAAAGATTCAATTACATTAAGCTTTCCAGAAATATACATTCTCCTCTCATTTTAAGTTAACACGTTTCTTTTATCAAGTTTAATTTATTACCAAGATATATATTCAACCATAAATAATTTGTAAAAATCATATAAAATCATTTGAAAAATAATCAAAACGTATCAACTAAAAAAAGTATTTTTTTTTTTTAAGTGTCACGCCATGATCATTGGATTGCATTGAGTAATGTACTTATACAAAACTAATACATAAGTACTAAATACAGCACAAAATAACCTGAATGTAGAAATGAATTAATGATATAAAAATAATAAAATTAAAGACCAAAAATATAATTCTGATAATTACTCTTGTGAAATGTTTTTTTGTGTTTTGATTAAATAGGTTCACTGGAATTTTTATTCAACTCACAAGGACCCAAAGTATTTTCCAAACCCGGAAAAGTTTGAGCCTTCAAGATTTGAAGCCACAATGCAGCCAAATATATTTGTACCCTTTGGAAAAGGGCAACATATGTGTTATGGTAACGAGTATGCTCGAATTAAGATCCTCGTATTTTTGCACAACGTTGTAACTCGATTTAGATTGTCAAAAGCTAATCCTCCAGAGAAATTAATCTATACTCCAGATCCAGTATCTGTTGAAGGCCTCCGAATTCGCCTTCTACCTCATTAGAATTGCTAGAGAATAGAGGTATAATAACACCATATCATGTTATAGATTGTTTACGTATCTTCTAATTGATATTATCATGCTGAAATAAAACCTTCTAATTGATATCTTTTTCTAAATTATATAGCTACTTTAGCAAAAGTATTTACTAAAATGACTGAATTAATTTCTAATTCCAAAACTAACCTAGATATTTGCTTTAAGGCTTATGATCGAACATCAAACACAATTTATTCTTTTTTATTTTTCAAGTGCGCCTGTGAAAGTCTAACTGGCTAATACAAGAGGGGGGGGGTGAATTGTATTTGAGGTGAAATCTAAAAACTTTTTGCGGAATTTAACTAAATGAAATAGTGACGAGAGAAGATATAGGCTTTTCTAAATTTCCACTAAGTAATCAAACTCTTTACAAGTGAAGATTCAAACCCGTTAACAAGTTCCACAAATTAGGAACTTGTTCCCAACTCTCACAGAAGACTTCAGCAACGAAGCTTCCTTGACCTCACTTTACAAACTCACAATCCCAACCCCTAAGTACTTGAATACAATCTGTGATTACAAATACCTATTGCACTCAAGAATATATGAAGGAAAATAACTCTCTTTATGTTATTAGATGGCTACTGGAATTTTTATGCTCAAGAGTTATGTTTTACTGAGATAGTTTGCATGAGTATTTATAGAGAAGGCTTAGTCATTAACCTCCACCATAATCACGTCCACATGTCAACAACCCACTAACAACTTGTGGAGTTATCTTGACAGATTGTGATCATGAAGAGGTTTCCTAGCCTTATCTAATTAAACCACTATCCTAACAACTTGATAACCATTAGCCGTATAAAAGATTTTCTCACAGAAAAACCACTTGCTAACTTTATCAAATATTTATTTAAAAGATTATCAAAAGTTTGTTTAAAAAGATTTTATTTGAAAAGATAAATTTATTATTTATTAAAACAACTAGATAATTATCTTCGATAATTATCTTTATTAAAACTTTTACAAATTATCTTTTCTTTAAGAAATTATCTTTTAAAACTAACTTTTATTCCAGTAGTCTTTAACATAAGTCATTGAGTTCCTTTCCGACTTTATATTATTGAGTGCTCACAATTAAAACTAGAACGTGAGATTTGCACGAGGCTTTTTAAAGAATGCTACTCCGCATCCAAGTTCCTACTCCGGAACGAACTTTGCTTGAATCCTTTATTCACCAAAGACTCAAAACATTCATTAGTCGAGTTTGTCAATTTGTCCATCAAAACCAAAAGGCTCAACAAATTCCCCCTTTTTGATGATGACAAACATTGACAAACTTAGGTAAATAAAATCATCCAGGCATGCAACAGAAATTTAAAGTAAGACATGAAAACAAAAAAAAAAAAAAAAATTAAAGAACTTAGAAAAATATTAAAAAGTATTTTTTTTTTTTTTTTATTTTTTTTTTTATTTTTTTTTTTTTTTTTTATTATTATTATTTTTTTTTTAAAAAAACTGAGCAAAAGAAAAATTAACAAAGACTTTAAAAACTGAACTTAGCAAAAGTTTGTACCTTCGATGTGTGAGTTCCTTGGTAAACACTTTAGCCGCCATGAAGTTTGTCTTTTCCCCCTTTTGGCATTATCAAAAGATTGAAAAAAAACATTTTGCTATACTCCCACTAGACTACGTAGGGAATAGTGAGCTCAAATAATGCAAGGCAAAAATAAGTTAGGTACCAAATTATCAGCAAACACACACAATCATATGAAAAATACGAGCCAAGTTCCGATTTAGGAAATAGAAGAGGAACATAGAGAATGTAGCAAAGGATAAAGGCGTACAAACCAAAGTTCAGAGAGATTAAACAAAACCAAAATAAAATTGTTCAACATATGAAATTAGAATAAGTGCAATCAAGGATTTAAAAGGCTGCATTGGTAGGATCAAGGGTTGGATTTGTGGGATCAATAGAGTCTTCCTCGACTTCCTCAAAGGCTACTCTGTTGATAGTTTCCAAGATCTCCTTGTTGCCTTCACTAAACTTGCCTTCAGCCTGTGCAAGCTTTGCCTCTACGCCTGCAAATCCGGTTGCTTGAGAATCTGCCAGAGCCTGCACCTGGCCTTTAAGAGAAAGCAGTTCCGAGGCCATTTCCTCCAGTTTCTTGCTCACCAGAGTAGTCAACTTCTCCATATCTGCTTGAACCTGTTGAAAATCATAAACAGACACACGAGTTCCAGAGAAAGCAGCAAAGCCAGTAGGCTGAAATGGAGGAGGAGAAGGTGAATGAGAAGGCTGCCTAGTAGGTGAGACAGGAATAGAAGAGGGTTCAGTGGAAGAGGGAACTTGGGTAGGTTTGAAGGTGGAATCAGATTTGTCTGAGGAGCTGATGGTTTCTACAGTCACAGGGTGTGTAGTAGAAAGGGCAGGCTTGACCACATTCCTCTTACTCCTTCTAAGGCCCCCTGTAAACACAGGAATGACAGGTGGTCCAGCTGTGCTCTCAGAGTCTGTGGTATGTTCCCTCTCACTTTGATCAGTTCCCTGCCCCTCATGTAAGTCAGATTGTCGAGCTTCCCCCTCAGAAACTTCCATATGTTCCCCCTCAGAATCTTCCTGTTTTTCTCCTTGCACATCTCCCTCAAGTATTTTTTCTTTGTTTTTCTCTCCGTTAGAACTTTTTTCTTCTTCCTTATCTCCCTCAGAATCACTGGAGGTGGTAGCACCCTCACTAGCCTCCTCACTACCCTGGTCACTGCTTGCATCACATTCTTCCTTAGCTTCTTTCCCTTTCCCTTTCTTTTTCTCCCCTCCTTTCCGAGGCACAAAACATACTTTGCCATTTGTAAGCCTAAGACTCAGTCTAAGTAATGATTGTTCAGAGAGGATATTATCGGGTTTGAGATATGTTGGGGATTCACATTCAACATCAATACCAAAAGATTTGAACAACACAGTAAGGAAAGAGCCATATGGAATTGTGGTCTTTTGAGCATAAAAATTCAAGTGTTCAATCATTAGAGCAGGGAAATTAATCTGTATTTTGCATGCAAGACAGAATATGAGGGAGGCATCCAAGAGTGATACGGTACTCCGTTTTTGTAAACGGGGTACTATACCCTTCCAGGTGAAGGTAAACAGTAGCTTATGAAGGGGTGTTAGGGCATGATGGTGAGTAGTTTTCACTTTCGGATTTCCTCCAATAAATTGAAGGATTTTGCATTCATCATTATGGCCAATGTTTACAGATTGTTTGTGCTTTAAATAAGAACAATAGCCTTTAACAGGAACTTGAAATAGATTTCCAAGATAATTGGCATCAAACGAAATTGGAATATCATTAACTACGGCCGAGCACACACCATTATCACATTGAAAGGTATTTTTGAACTCATAAATAAATTTAGGATAAACAGGGTAATGAGAACAATTCTGGAACAAGTGAGTCCATTTTTGATAATCAATTAAAGAAGTAAATTCAGTGAACTTACTCGCCACACACCAATCATAGTTGATGTGATATCCGAGAGTGTAATTCCATGATGGGAATTTGGTGGTTGCGCGCCGTTTCCTGTCGCCGCCCTTCACAGCCTTAGCCTTCCTCTTTGGCTGAGCAGATGGATGCACCACCGCAATTGGCACCGGTTGTGGAGACCCCGTGTTTGAGGAGGGTTTGAATGGTGGTGATCGGGTTTTTGGGGTGGTGTTTCGGTTGGTTTTCATGGTGTTGAAGATAAAATGAAGGGAAGGAGAAGATGAATAGTGTGAATAGGAAGGAGAGAGAGTGAGGCCGGTTATGGGAGTGTATGGGGAATTTAATTGATTTGATAGGTGAAGGTGGAGTGAAAAGAAGAAAAAGAGTTTAATGGGGAGGAGTGAGAAAGAAAAGTGACGGTTTAAACTGTGAGGTAGTGGGGTAGTTTTAGAGGTAGTAGGATTTAATTTGGTGAAATAATTGCACTCATCTAATTCAATGTTGATAAAATAAAATCGTAAGTTAAGAAGTTGATATACATGCTTCTTATCTTACGTAGCAAATAAGATCTTTTTGTATTTTTGAATTCTATGAGGAATAGAAAAATTCATCATGAAAAAATAAGGAAGGAAAAAGATAAGAATAAAAAAATAAGATAGGAATTTGTTGAGCCTTTTGGTTTTGATGGACAAATTGACAAACTCGACTAATGAATGTTTTGAGTCTTTGGTGAATAAAGGATTCAAGCAAAGTTCGTTCCGGAGTAGGAACTTGGATGCGGAGTAGCATTCTTTAAAAAGCCTCGTGCAAATCTCACGTTCTAGTTTTAATTGTGAGCACTCAATAATATAAAGTCGGAAAGGAACTCAATGACTTATGTTAAAGACTACTGGAATAAAAGATAAGAAAGAAAATAACAAGAAGAAAAAAAACAGATAAATAAAAAATGAAAAGGATAAATAAGAGCAAATTGATTGTAAATTATGATGATAATTTACGTGATCATGATACAGAGAGTAAAGAATGATGAAAAGGGAACTTAAAAAAAACATGGCTCAATATTTTTAACATATTAAAAGTATGTATACGTGACTTTTCAATACTTCACAAATCTTTCCCCTGGGTAATTTCAGCTGTGTTATGCACACAAGATTGAGCATAGCATCGTTAGTTACATCCGATTTTACCTTAGGGGTTCCAAACAAAAGTCACTTGAGCCGTAGCATCCCCAATTCCACACGCATCTTTTCAAACTTGTCTCTGCTTAAAGGCTTAGTTAATATATCAGCAATTTGTCATTCAGTAGAAATAAAATCTAGCTTAATTAAGCCCTTTTTCAAGAAAGTCATAAACATATCAAAAGTTTCATCTTTACTATGTAAGAATATGACCCATGTAAATCTAGAATAATCATCTACAAGAACTAAGACATATATTTTTCCACTTCTACTTTGAATTCTAACGGGGCCACACAAATCCATATGAATGAGTTCCAATGGTTTTGTGGTGCTTACCATTTTCTTTGATTTAAATGATGATCGAACA